CCTCTTCATTTTACCACAAATAACCTTGACCCCAAAATGCTTCTGAAGCAGTTTTTCAGAGAGGGGAAACATTGTGCAGACATGTGCGAGTCCACACTACGCCATCGCACCCTACATTAAGCCTGGGACCCGTGCACGACTAGTCGCCAAGTCGGCAATACCAAAGAGTAGTCGCGGTCACGACTATCAATTTTGAGGTAGTCGACTAGTCGGCATGCAGCGACTATTATCCTACGACTCTCGACTATTAATCTGCACCGCAACTATTCTCTGTGCGCAGCCACGACTACAGGCAGCACTGCGAGTATGTGGTGAGACCGAGCCACGGTCGCGGCGACTTTTAATCTGCATAGGATGTGGGAAAGGTTTGACAGCAGGTACTGCCATTTGCTGTCTGCCATCAAGGAAGACGTTCTCGACCGTCATCATTCCCAAGATGTATGAAGACCTCTGTGTCTCGACAGTGGTCCCTCTTGTTGCTGAGGCCACTTCATTTGCCCTGACAGCAGACCTCAGGACAGCCCGGAATATGGCACAATTTCTTGGCGTGACCATTCACGCGATAAACTCATCGTGGGAGCTAAAAACTTTCACGTTTGAGAATACCGAATGTCCCCCACCCCATGATGCTGAAAGTATTTCTTCGAGCCTGCAGAAGATGCTGGAAGACTTGAGTTTGCCAGAGGAACGACTGACAGCTATTACTACTGACAACGCATCGAACATAACGAAAGCAGTTCGTGACATTGGCTGGGGTCATCTTCCCTGCTTTGGGCATTGCCTGAACCTGATAGTTAGAGCGGGACTGGACACAAGATTGGTTCACACAAGTCTAGCAAGATGCGGCAAACTTGTACAATATGTACATAAAAGTGCAATGGCCAGCTACAAGCTAGCAGAAAAACAGGGGATGTTAGACTTGCCAAAGAGCAAGCTTGTGCAAGATGTGCACACATGGTGGAATTCAACGCTGGACATGCTGGCACGCATCATCCAACAGCAGCAAGCAATATGCAGTATGCTTCTAGAACTGAAGAAGCAGGAACTGATGCCCTCTGCTGAGGAATTCAAAACCATAGAACAACTGGTCGGCCTGCTAACTCCTATGAAGGAGATGACAGAATTCTTTAGCGGAGAATATGTCACCGTTTCTGGACTGCTGCCTTGTTTGTACAGACTTGAATCAAGTCTGGTGGCAGAGGCCGATGACACGAAACCAGTGGAAATCGTAAAACGGGCAATGGCTGAAAAACTGGCCGATATCTACCATCACCGATTTGTTGAGGAGAACCTACAGATGTGCAGTTTTCTTGACCCACGCTTCAAGGCACTCCCCATGATGAAAGCGGAAGAAGTCAGTCGGGTGCACGACACGATAACTTGTCGAGTCACTCAGATGGCAGAGGAAGAGAACACCGGAGAGGAGAGGGATACTGACAGAGAGCCTGACCAGCCCCCAGTAAAAATCACCAAAATCAAGTCCATCTTTGGCGAAATGTACATTCGTACATTGTATTCGTGTGCCTACTGTACGTACTAAGGGATCTGAAGCACCAAACATTAAAATTTTTATTTCAGTTCAGTAAGCTGACAATTTTCTCCAGTCATCGCAAATGAACTGAAACGAGAAAGTCAAGCTGATCCATTCAGAATATTTATGTAAAACCAGAGAGGCCACATGAGCTTTGCAAGAGATTGTCCGCCGGAAATTTGGCAGTTCAAATTAGAGGTGCTCCTCAAAATGTTTAACTATGAATATCATTAACATAATATGACGTCATGGGGTCATAATAGTCGCGACTAGTTAAATAGTCGCGACTAATTTGTAATAGTCTCCATGACTTTGCAAAATTGATAGTCGCCCAGGTTTACCCTACATTATGTGAATTTTTTTTGCAGAGGTTTGCACTATGTTTGCCACGCCTGCACACACTGGTACCCCACCATCAAAGACACATTTTGCACACTGATGGAATGTAAGAAACGTGGCTAACAAATCAACAGAATGTGAAACTGTATCTGTGTTGTGTTTTCAGGTTACACCTCCACCAGCATAGGCACAAGGTGCCCTAGAGTTAGGAGAATTTTTACACTTGTTACCCCTGAAGGAACATTATGTTTGGAGCCCATAACAGAAAAAACTGTTTTATGTTGTGTGTACGCCTAAACAGGACTTGTTCCCTTAAATCAAATTTATTCCCAACATAGCCAGGTGTCTAGACATGTACTAACTTACATGAAATATCCGTGCCTGTTGCCCCAGGTGCCATTGTGCAGATCTTTATCAATTTCTGCCAGACTGGGAAATTAATTTTTCGATTGTTTCCCTGCCCGGCGTGTATTTTAAGACTCTATGCTCAGTTAAAATACACGCTGGGCGGGGCAAAAAAATTCCCCCCCCCAAAAAAATTAATTTCAGCTTCCTGGCGCAAATTCATCTTCGAAATAGACTGGGAAATGTTGATGGATACTGGGTAAATTCCAGCCCCAACTGAATCATTATGCTGTAGTCTACAATTTTGGGAAAAATGGTGAACATTTACATTTGCTGAAGCTTTGGCATGCTGTCAGTCCCAGTAGTGGGATATTGCCAACATTTGCAAGCATTTAGCACTGTTTTCACCTATTTTTTTTCTTGCATTTTTATTCCACTCAAAGGATGGTATGATCGTGCCATTGAAGGGCAGTGGAGCTGGGTTGATTGCCAGGCTAGCACTGACTGGGCCAACAGCAAGTGGTCTAATCGTTCCTTTGAAGATGCTGGTATGGAGGAGGATTGTGGGATGCTGCTGGGAGACTCTGGTCTCCTTGACGATAAGAACTGCAGCCTCCCTGTGAAATTTGTGTGTGAGACAACCAAAAAAGGTGTGATGATGATGTTTGTAACGAGCAATTTTTCTTGCTTTTACCTAGCACTGTTGTTGAATTCCTTTTTTTTCACACCAACAGGGTAATAATCGTGAGGTTTTTCCTAATTCAGGATTTTCAAACAATCTCTTTAAACCTGGAAAATCATGGGTCCTACATGAAAGTTGATATAGGACAAAAGGTCCTGCTGTGGTTCTCCTCAAAACCTCTGGTGATTATTTCCATTGATTTTTCCCCTCCAATCTCACCTCTGCACCAAGTATACAAACACTGAGGGTTTTGTACAGTAGGTATTAAATGTAATTACAGAGATTTTAATTGAATATTTTGATAAAAGTAACATGTATTTGGACGAGCAGACTGGTAAAGTTGTAAAGGAAGTACACAGATATTTGCCTCAGCATTCAGACTTGGACTGAAATTTATTATTCTCAAAATATTGATTAAGTACGACTCAAAGTTATGCTGAAAATTTATTCGTGAATAAAACCTTTTTGTTTTAAATTACATTGAAAAAATGTGTTTGTTATCAGACTACGCGTACACTGATGCGTTCCCAAGCCTCATCCGTGGACAGTCAACCTCCGAATTCAGCATCCTCCTGTCCTGGCGTGTATCCTCTTTAGTCTGCGATCTCCGCGGCTACCAGATACGCTACAACACCACTGCTTCCATGGATCAGTTCACGTACATCGATGTTGATGATCCGATGGCGAACTCAGTGGAGGTGACAGGTCTGATGCCGGACACCAAGTATCTCTTTGAGTTTGTGATTGACACATTCTCCTACGGGTTGTCTTCCTACCGAACTGCGAAGTCAGTCTTTGCCTCCACAGGTATGTACAGAGGCATAGTCAGGGGCGTCATGGACCCTTGCTTGATATGAGACCTGTGTCCCCATGGTGCCCCCATACAGATTCTGGAGAGGTCAAGAAGATATTTGTAGAGTTTGAGTTGCCATCATGTGGGGAAAATCTAGGTTGTGAGAAATACCAATCGTTTTGGATAAACACTTTGTCTAGTATGTTGTGGTCACCTTTAGGGAGAAACAGAGGAAACCAAACCGAAACCACCGATTCTTGACAGAAACTATTTTCTTTTTGAAAAAATATTTTTTGACTTGTCCCCAGAAATGCTACTAGTTTACACCTCCACCCTGCAAAGTTTCAAATATGATTAAATAAACTTGGCACCATCGAAAATGATGATAAACCTCATTTAAATTGGCTCTCAAGTTACAGGGAATGGACAGTGACTAAGCATTGAAAAGAATGCCTTTTTTATTTGTGGCAATGACTACTTATTGTGACTTGATGGCAACTCTTTCAATTTGCTCTCTGTGGGGTTGGATTCAAGGTGTGTATTATTTGTTTCAAGTATTTTGGGCAGAAAGACGTGAAGTGCTTTGTGTTTATGCATTATTATTAATTTTATTGTTTTAAAGACAAAAAGGTAAAATGTCTCTCCAGGTCTCTTGAGTGTACATGTATGCGGAACGGAGCTTGTTCTTGAAAAAGGGGGTTGGATGCAAGAAGCATTTGAGAAGCAGAACTTCTGATCCTGGACTCTCAGTTTTGACAAGTATCTCACTTATATTTTTTCTTTTATAGCGAAATGCCCAAATGAGTTTGAGCCTGGCCCTGCTGACATCTGTTACAAGTTTGTCAAGAAGTTGGTGACGTACGAGGAGGCAAGAGATGACTGTCAGCGGACACCAGGGGGTGATCTTGTCATCATTGACAACCCCACCGAGCAACAGTACATTCAGAACAGGAGTGTAGATGGCGATTGGTGGATTGGTAAGTTTTGATATTGATTTGCTGATGCATGGTTTCATTTATCTGCCAATTTGATTTAAAAATCAAGTTGGGCTCAGATACAAATGAGAAAGACTGGAAAATGACATAGCAGTGATTTAAAAAAAAGGTGATGCTACTGGTGTTTAAAATGTTCAGTGAAGTTTCAAATAGACCTGAATTATAATGACGTCATGCTTTGTTTACAAGTGTACTTTCTTTGGGGACTCGACTGGTCACATCATACCTTATTGTAATAGGAAAGTGTTCATATAAATAAATTGTGATGTCATTATGTTACTGGTCTATTGAAATTATTTTTTGTATGTTCATTTTTGAAGTTGGAACATTCTGATTTCAAAATAATTTTAAGAGCTTCACTTTTGATTATTCTGTTTAAAAAAAAACACAGTTTCATAAAGCTGAATGTATATATTACGAATATTGCATTTATTCTGAAAATTGCCTTGTTGCCTTATTTTGACTTACCATGTCATGAATAAGATATGATGGTATGTGGAGTGAGTGACAAACTTTATGTGATTGATGCTGGCTTCTAATGTCCACCTGCATTGTTTACTACCAGGGTTGAATGACCGAGCAGTGGAGGGGCGTTTCCGCTGGACAGACTGCAGCCCACTCACCATCTGGCAGTCCACGCAGTGGGCCCCAGATCAACCCAACAATCTGACAGACAGCCAGGATTGTGGTCAGTTTCTGGAGACTGGCCAGTGGAATGACTGGCCGTGTGACCGACCCATGCAGTACATCTGCGAGATCATAACCAAAAGTGAGCGAATGATGGAAAAGTTTGTGTGCCCCTGGGGAGTCAGGTTGGCATATTGGTGCTTTCCTCACCTTCCAGCTCTGTGACTTGGGTTTGAATCTCACCCAGGCCGGCATATGAATTAAATTTTCAGTCCACACCTAATTCTGAGATTTTCCCTGGAGTATCATTCTGGGGTTTCCTCCCACCTCTGAAACTTAACATCATGATAAAAGAAATTTTAAAAAGACAGCAGGTTTCTGCCAAGCAGAGTTTGCCTATGGACTTACGTACATTCCCTTATGTGGTTTTCAGTCAATCCAAATTTGGGAACTCAATTTATACGTGGTGGTTAGGGCTTACAGAATGTAATTTTATTAAATGCTGGTGTCAAATTGAAAAGAAAATGGAATGCAAAGTTTTCGAGGAGAGGTGGTTTTCTTTTGGTCCCGGTCAACATGGTGGAAATTTCTTAGATCTTTTTAGACATACAAACAAATCATAGAAAATGGTTCTTCCTTGCCAGATTTTGATCCTGAGAATGTCAGTCCGGGGCAGTTCTCTGCCACAGAGGTGGACCCTTTCTCCATCCAATTGTCATGGGTCCCACCCCTCTACAACTGTGATATCAAGGGCTATGCTGTCATGTGGGGGCGGGTTGGTGACCCACTCATGATGCTCCAGATTGAGGGGGTGGAGACATCCGAATACCTTGTTGGAAACCTGCTGCCGGAAGAGACATATTCCTTCCAGATTGCTGCTGAGACCTTCAGGCAGGTTCTGCGCTTCAGCTCACCACAAAATGTGACGTTGTCGGACAGCAGTGAGTCAGTTGTTATTTTTTGTTGGCGTTTACACTACAATATGTTTGGCAAACTTTTTTTAAAGCCCTTTTCCCGTAGGCCTTACGCTCAGAACAAAGAGGTAAAGACAGCTTTTGCAGCTTCCGTGATTTGGGGAACTCATCTACATTTGATCTATGCCAGTTGCTGTTCCATTGATCTCCTTTGCCACAAACTGTTTAACCTTAACACTCCTCAGTCCTCCAACAGGTGAAGGATTGAGGAGGGTTAAGGTTAAAGGCTTATTTCCTTTTCCACTTAAGCGGGCTATTGTCCTGGCGGCTACGAAGTGGGCCCCATGAACAACACCTGCTACAAGTTTGTTAAGAAGCTGGTGACGTGGGATGAAGCAAGGATGGACTGTGGGTCTGTTCGTGATGGCGACCTGGTCATCATTGATGATGTCATGGAGCATGACTACATCATGGAGAGAGTTGTGGATGGTGATTGGTGGATTGGTGAGCCTTTCGTGATGAATATTCAGTATAAGTCATCCCTACATATGGTGACCATGAACTTCTGCCATGTAAAAGCTTACTCAGTTGACAGAAGGACGGGGATCCACCAGTTTGCAGTGCTAGTGTCAGAGTTGCTATCCATTTGATAAAGAATGGACTTTATGCCAGAAATTTGAATATCTAAAAGATATAAAATGAGGAAAAATATGTTGCACTCTGCCCCTGAGACATCAACATGTTGATGACAGACATTTTTTAACCGACTGCTTACAATCTTAGAGATAGTCACAAACCTAATGGTCTTAACAGCGACTTTAATTACAAATTAAATGTTGAAGCTAAGGTCTTCCTAGTTGATAACATTTCTGTAGCTTTAACCCACGCGTCTCTTTTACAAGTTGTTTCTCTTGTATAATTTGTTACATTTATCCTGCCTAGTTGATTGTCAAAAGTGAGAGACTTTGAGATGCTTGGTGGCAGCAGACAAACTGGTCCTTTTTTGCCAGCTCTGGGCATGTGAACACAGTTCTGGGCATGTGAACACAGTTCTGGGCATGTGAACACAGTTCTGGGCATGCATAGTAGTTCTGAGTGTGCGGGCAACTGTGAAGAAGGAATGGTTTGTCAAATTTCTCAAAGTCTTTTGTTGCATTTGCTTAAAAAAAGAAAATTTTTGTTATTCTTATTTTTGATATTCTTTTTGCAAATGTCACAACTTTCAGGCTTCAGTGACCGTGGAGTGGAGGGTCGATGGCAGTCGGTGAACTGCCTGGACCTATCTCCATGGCAAACTTCCAAATGGGCCCCAGACCAGCCCAATGACCTGTCTGGAACCCAGGACTGTGGCCAGTTGCTTGAGACCGGTCAGTGGAACGACTGGCAGTGTGACCGACCTATGCAGTACATCTGTGAGATCACACCCAAAGGTAGTCTGAACATTGGATTATGACGGGGTGGAATCTTGAGAATCAGGAATAGGATTTCCAGTCGAGCATTAATCAGAGCAGGAGCAGACTGAACTATGAAGTTCAGTCCTGAGTCAGTACATTCTTGTGATCAAGTACCTGGCATGGCCATGTACTAGGCAGAAGATTCTAACCTTTAAAAACATTGCTGCAGTACCACACAGATATACACAAGATTTGGCAACAGCACTAGGAGTATAGGTTTGGGGGACTTGGGAGGCACATGCCCCCCTCACAAATTTCTGGTGTCCCCCAGGTCCCCCCCCCTACAAAAAAATGGATGAATGGATGTTGAAGAAGGCTGACAAAACTTGCCCCCAAAAACCACACCTCTGAAATCTGATGCCCCCAATAAGATGCTGGTGCCCCCTTGTGCCCCCTCACTAGTAAAATCCTACCTATGCCACTGTACACCACTGCACCTTGTAGATGGCCCATGAACTGCCCAGCACACTGCTGCAATTTCAGCTCCTTTCTGGTGGTGTTCGTTTTTAAATGAGTGTTGAAATCCTCTTCTTTTCTTGTATTAGCTTTTTGGTCATTCGTGAAGTTTGTTAGTGTCTGTTCAGTTTACATACCCTCAGTAATTGTTTACAATTCCCAATTGTTTAAAGGGTGCAAGTGGCAATATACCACCAGTGACACAGTAAAATAAAATTCCCTGTGGAAACAAAAGTACACCATGTTATATCACTCTGTTATTTTCTTTCACTGAAGTGGAATGTGTAATGAACACTGGTGTTTAATTTGTAAAATGGGTATTTTTGTGGATTATATCAAAGAAGAATCAAATATAGCATTACTTGTCTGAAGCACTGCAGCTTAGTCCAAAGTGAAGTTGTTTGCTCTTTCCCATCTCTCCAGCATTTAACCCAGAGGAACAGGTGGCCACCAACCTGACCGTGGTGGATTTCACTTCCACTACAGTCACCCTCGGCTGGCTGCCTCCCCCCTACACCTGCGATGTCCTAGGCTACCGCATCACCTACTCCACCTCCCTGAGCATCTACACCCTGGATGTGGAGGGTGGCGACACGTCCAAGGTTGTGGTTGGCAGCCTGCGTCCCTTGAGTCTTTACTCCTTCAACATTCAGACCAAGATGGCCATGGGCAGCTCGGAACCCAGTGACCCCATCACCACCAACACTGCTGCCTACGAGGGTGAGGTGTTCAAGCTAGTCTTTTATTAATAACTATTTCTGGCAATGAAACCAAGGGTTCTTCAAAAATTGCCCCAGACACTACAGCTCGCAAGCCTGAAGAAACCCTGTAGAGAGGAGACAGAGAGAAATAGATTGAATCAAGCTGTAAACAACCTCAGAAGGGCAAAGTTTTCAAGCTGCTGAGGACAGATAAAAGATGATTGCACAGCCAAGAGGAGGCACCAGCCATAATGCCATTAACCGTTTATGGCTTTTTTACCGGTTCTCTACCAAATTTTGCCTAAGTTGGAATTTACTTGGCAATTTATTCTTATAAGAAGTCCATATGACATATATTTCCAGCCACTTTATTTCTAAGTATGCAATTTTTTGGCTTACAGAATTGTTTTCTGTCAGATCCTAGACCTTGAACAATAAAATAAAGTTAACTGTCTTGTTAACATTTTGCTTGTAAACACTGAAACTGTGATGGAAGTTTATGTATGATCCGTTATAATCTCAGTGTAAAATACAAGCTTGGTAGGATATTTCTGTTCAAATATGCTTGAATTCCATACTTTTAATGAATTTTATGAATACCAATTCTTGGCCCAGTTCTGCATTATGAAAGTGATGCCCGTGCACGTATGCATCAGACCTAGAATCTTAAAGGCTTGTTTGAAGACTTCTGGGAGGGGAGGTATATGATTCCCACGATAGCTGTATTTTCGTGGTGCAAAGTGTCCATGTTCAATTTTACCGAGCTGCTAGGAAGTACAAAATATTGCGTCGTTCAAAATTGATGTGCTGACCTTGGAACCAGTCACAAGCAATGTAAATTGTTTGATGCCAGTAACCAAATAAAATTCCTTGTGCTTATTAAATCTCTGTCTTCAGCAGCTCTCTCAATTTCCCCCTGTCATAGGGGCCATAATTTCCTTATCTTTATACCATGACTAAATCCTCCCGTTACCAGCCTAAAATTCTTCAGGGGTAATAGATGAGAAGGTGATTACAGTATCCTTTATGTTACCAACTGCCTTAAATGTCCAAACAACTTGTGTGAACCTCTTTCCTCTCTTTACATAGGTTGTCAGGATGTCATTTCAAGCACAGATGCTGTTGGCAACATAACATCTCCCCTCTTCCCCGATGACTATCCCCGCCTTGTCAACTGTCTCTATCGTGTTGATCTATCCTCGTCCGTTGGAGCTGATTCTCGCATCCGACTGCAGTTTGTATACTTCTCCCTTGGGGCAGACGATTATGTTGAAATCCGAGAACTTGACTCATCTGCAAGGAATTATGGGACTCCCGTGGTGAGTGTGACCTCTGTTTTGTGCTCACATATTTAACAATCAAATTGAGTATGAGAAAATTCAGCAAATGATTGAAGTCACTGATAGTGGAGTAGTAATTTTGGTATTAATTTTCTTTTTATTAAAAGTATCTCCAATATGCAACCAGTTTATGTCTAGAGCTGTTTTTAAATCTGAACTTTGCTCTTGCTATTTAGGCCCAGAAACTATTTTGTTGGCCATTGCTCAAACCAAATAGGATTTTTTCAAACTGTGGCTTCATGCTATGGTGTTTGGTACTCACACACATGTACACATGACACGAAGTTGATATATATTGAGCCCAAATTTTTATGGATCCTAAACTCTAAGAGTTAGAGCCAATGGCAAACCAAGATTTGAGAAATGGTCGTTAGCTTTGTTTGATATCGCAAGACTAATTTAATTTGCAATGAATAGGAAGAGGCGTTGTTATCCCCAATTACACAATCATTTGTTTATAGAGCTGTAACTTAGGGTATAGAACAGTTTGGAGTTTTTTGCTCAGTCACATAAAATGTTTTGATTAGAATTAGTAAATTGATTTTTGTATCTGGTATCCCATCAGCTGAACTATATATCCTCCGCCAATTTGGTGGTAACGATTTTCTGCATACAAGGTTATTAAAGGCCGTGGCCCAATCAAGGACTATTTCAGTTCTGGCAGCTCGCTGGACATTCAGTTTGTGTCGGATGCATCTGCTGAAGCCCGCGGCTTCCGAATTCTCTACTCCCAGTCTGAAGCAGGTAAGACAAATAAAATGGGCTCTGCTAGTGGTGCTGTAAGTGTCGCTTAATACAATGGAGCTTTAAAGTACAGAGTTAAAAAAAAACCTGATGTGTATTGAATTGAACAGATGGGTAAATTTTGAAGAATACTTGTTGAGAATGATTATTTGACTTTGTCTCTTTTTCTTTCTTTCTTTTTTTTTTCTTTTCTCAGAATTTCCTTCAATCACTCCCTCTCTTGTCTAGTCTGGTTGATAGTCCTGTTTATATCTTGATAAAATGACTTAATAACAAGTTTTTGGTGATCGCATGTACATTTTTCTCTACAATTTAGTTTGATGGACTTTTGAAACCTTATAGGCCATAACATGTGAACAACTGAATTTGGTTTCATCTGTGATATGCTGCTCTTTCCCCCGATCATAGCTCAACCAGCTGAAAAGGACTGTGGAATGACCTACACCGTCAAGACCAACTCCCTTCTCAGTTTCCAGTCTGTTGGTTACCCGAATCGCCACGACAACTACCAGTCCTGCACTTGGGTCTTCACCTGCCAACCAGACAAGGTCCTGTTTGCGTACTTGCTGCAGGCCGGCCTGGAAGACGGCTATGATTGGGTAGCAGTTGGCAATGGCAATGATCCGACTAACGAGACTGCACTCCTGGAGCGGTTCACAGGCCAGGCCACAGGCTTGATCTTGTTCTCAGAGGACAACATGATGTGGATAACCCTGTACTCAGACTATTCCATTTCTGGAATGGGGTTCAGCTTCTTACTGGAGGAAATTGATCCAAGTAAGAAATTTCTCTCTCTAAACTTTACAGTTGACCCTTTGCAGATCTTTGTGTTACAATGTTTTTTCTTACCTTCCAATGCTGCTGAGGAAATAAACAGCCAGGATCTTATTACAGGATGAGGTGTTGTTAATATCGAAGGCAGTTATTGTTTATAAAAATGTGTCATCCTTTGTGCAAAAGTTGATTTTCAGCAATGAAATGTGGAATCCTGTTAAAATGGTTAATCTTGATCAAGATGACACAAGCACCCGAGAGAGGGATGGATCCAGGATTTACCAAAAGGGTTGGTGTGAACTTAAGCAGTAATGGTTTATAGTACCTGGAGCATGTAGCATGAAGCCCTTACTGCGTGGTGTTCAGGGCCCACTTAAGGCCCCTTGGGAGTTTGGGATTCTAGGCACTCTGTGGTGCAATTTCAGGCAGTATGACCTCTTTTTATGCCTTTGTCACATTTATTAGGCTCGGTCATTCCCTCTTTTTTTTTCTTCCCACTCCCTCTTTTTCATCTCTTTATTTATTCAATGATATTTTTGGTGAAGAGGATCTACCCCTGTGAGATATTTGTTTGCATTTAAACACACTTGCTCTGTATTTTTCATACAGTTGTGTGTGCAGATGCAAAATTTCTTTCCTGTACCAAATCTTTACATTGGCTTTGTGCTAAGCAAAATTGACAGAGCACCAGTCACAAGTAATTCATATTTGGCTGGTAACCTGTGTTTTACAAACCAGTGTTTCCTGTGCCTCAAACGTGTCCGAGCTTGTGTGCATTGTGAAATCTGTAAAATTGGTTTTGGGATATCTCAGGATGGAATCTAAGGATATAAGGTATGACTGGGATGTCTAGATTATTGGAATGACAAGATTGAAATCAAATCTCTGTGAAATTTAAGGAAATCTTTTGATTTCAATTAAGTGATTCAAATAATTGATTTCAAAAGATTTTAAATCATTGCTTTCAAATTAGTTTACTTCTAATAAATAAGATGCTTAAAAAATAAAATTTTTTGGGTTTTTTTGGCTCTCAGGTGAAGTTCCAGTGCCACCACCTAAAACTCAGAGATCACATGACTTTGGTATCCAGGCAACCTGCGGGGGTGATGTTTTGGTGCCTACTGATGGGAAAGCAATCATCACCTCGCCCAATTACCCTGGAGAATATGACATCAACACCACGTGCACCTGGCTGATTACAGGCATCCCTGGACGGCGATTCCAAATGATCTTTGATTTCTTCGAGACTGAGAAAAAGTACTTCATTCTCAAACAGATTTCAATTAGATTTATTACTCTTGGGAGTTTCCAACTTTTGTATTCCTACACCATCAGTAATTTCAAATGGACTTACAATGTAGTTTCTTTTTATTTGTTTAATTTTTCTGCCAGTCAAAAAAGAAATGTTGTAGGTCATATTTTTGGTCTTTAATTTGATGGCTTCTGACTAGTGCCCCTGAGCAAAGATTCCAACAAATGGTAGGAACCAAGTCCTGGCACTGTGTTCTGGAGGTTGCAGATTCAGATCCCATGCCAGTCAATTTATTTGGTCATCTTTGTAGTCATAAAAATGTTGTGTAGTGCCTAGTTGGTTTCCCATCATAGTTTATTTGATAACTTGCAATGTAAAACTGAGAAAGAGACACATTTTTGACAGCTTTTTTACAGCGTCCTGAGAGGCTTTCATGTGCCAGTGATTCAGGTTCAGTTTGAAAGAAAGGTTTCTAAACCAAGTGTCAACTAAAAGGCTTCCTCTTAGGAACATTTTGTTTTACCCTTAACTGCCCAGATTTAAGTAACATCTTGTTACAAGGTGTATGAACGGATTTGGGACTTTCAATTGCTGATGTTTTACAGGGGCTGCTGTTCTCGTGTTGTTTAAAAGGAAAAATGCAAGGTTGAATTATTGGTTAGATTGTGGCAGATCTGGAGCAGCTCTCAGCAGAAGTAAGTCTGATAGAAAAAAATGGGCTTTTATGTCAAGACATCACCTTTACTGCTGCTGTTCACCTCTTACACAGCTATGACCTGTTATCTGTTGGCGCTGGTCTGGATCCATTAGATCCAACATCCCTTCGTACTGCGGTGTCTGGCTCCAGCCTGCCCAGTAATATTGTCTTGGCCAGTGACACTGCTTGGGTAGAGTTTACATCAGACAGTTCTACCATTGGAAATGGATTCTCCATTTCTCTCCAAAATGGAAACGGTAAAAATTGACTGAGTTTGCTTGTGTATGTATGTGAGTTTATTGGTGGCAGGGGAATTATAAATTAACATCTGTGGAAAATTCCATTCCACACTGCATTAATTGTCGTGTTAATGTAGAGAGAGAGGCCCTCATTCATTATCACTGTTTTTGGCAGGAAATAATTTCCTAATAGAGCGGTTTTTGTAGCATATCTTCCCATGTAACTTCATTCCGACAACTTGACGCTTTTTTGTTATTATTTTGGATGGGATTCTGGCCTTTTGTGTGACTTTTTCTTTGAAGCCATTATTTAATGTAATTTTTCTCCTGGCTTATTTGATCAGTATTGAGGTTCTACTATTTTGTTTGTTCTTGGTTTCTAGATTGTGAATTGATTCTGACCGTCCCTTCTGGCGGTAACATGACCGTGGAGTCACCAAACTACCCCAATGTTTACCCAAATAACTCCTACTGTTTCTGGACCATTGTCAGTCAGTCAGGCCGGCCCCTGAGAGGTGATGTCATCCGTTTCAGCACTGGTAAGTGTTGAGTTGAATTCACTGAGGTGCCCTCTTCATCAAATATTAAATGACATGTAGGTTCATTCGAGTAATAGCTTTTCACTCACCCATGCCCTGAATTATGGTCTATACTGTTTTTCTTTTTTACATTAGCTTCACTTTACGTTATAGTTGTTTAGCAAAACTTCAACTTCTTTTTCTTGTGATAGTTGTTACCATGCATTAATGTGTGCAATAATTGCTTGTGTGTCAATCATAAAGTGATCAATCTAGCACTGAGTTGTTGCTGATGATTGAATGTTGTTTGAAGGTTTGGCCAAGTCTTTTTCATACTCAACTTCTTCCTTGATTGATTGGTTGATTACACAGAGGATGGCTATGATTTTGTGGATGTTGGTGTGGGTAATCAACCAGCCGACCTTTCCACACGCTTCATTCACACATCTGGCTCTGGTCTCCAGCCGTTTAGTGCTAACTCTAGCACTCTGTGGATGACGTTTACCAGTGATGGCACCAACAATGCTGAAGGATTCCAGGTTGTCTTCCTCGATGGTGAGATCTTACGTCCGGAATCTTTTAGAATCTCCAGAAGTCTAAATGTTGTAAAAAAAACATAAAGTTTACCATCTGTATATGAAGCATTTTTAATGATAATTAAATCGTAGAATTGTAATTTTCAGAGAAATACTGTATCAATAAGAAGAATTGACTTTAAATTTGGACATAATTTTTTTCTTTACAAGTTTTCCACTGAAATATCTTTCTCAAGTATTTTGTCAAACTGTACCTTTGAATTAGATGGCTCTCGTAAGCTTGCCAAATAATTATGAACCATTAATTTTGGAGGCAGCATTGTTGTCCATCTAGCCTTACTGTTGCTCCCAAACCCACCATGTCATTATTTCTGCCAAAGGAATTTGTCTTTCCAGCTTTTCACGTTCTTTGTTTGGTTTTTCTCTCTACACTTTTCAGATGGCTGTGATGACAGCATCATTGAAAACACCACATCCGGCAGAATCGAGTCTCTCAACTTCCCTAATACCTACCCCAACAACCTGGACTGTACCTGGACCATCCGTGTTGGAGAGATCTTCCGAGTCAAGCTTGTGTTTGAGGCTTTTAATGTGGAGTCTGGCTATGATAAGCTCATCATCGATGGTGTGGACGGAGATGGTTCATTGGTAAGACTCTTACTCCTTCATCCTTTTCTTTTATTCACACCTGTCCTTCTCTGAAAACCTTGCTCTTTGGGATCTTGTTTCTTGAATCCAGTATATCCAAACTCTTCTGTTAAACTAACTCCATAGCTGAGTGCAGTCAGATTTCAAAAATGTTTTCGTCGTGCAATCTGTGAAGTTCACACATGACAAACTGTTAAGGCAATTTTAGGTAAGAGATTTTGGAAACTGTAAAAATTAAACAATGTCAAATGGGTAATTCCAGAAATTAGGGGTCCAAAATGTGACATTTTTGTGTCCTTGTTACATCTGACCTATGTTATTTGACATGGAATTATCACTGGAATTGATTTCAAACCTTTACCATTTGTTTAGCAGGTAATTGGCATTAATTCATCACTCTTGGAAATAAGAAAGTGTGTTCTGGACTTACAAAATCATACATCAGATGTAACAGGGACACGAAAAAAATAGACCCCTAATTTCTGGAATTATTAAAACATTAATAGAGTTATTTGAAAGAGTTTTTACCAATTGCATAACATCCTGCAGGCTTACTTAAAAGCAAGACTTTGTGTACTTGTGAACGTTATCAAAAGGTCTCATAGAAGATTCACTGAATTTAAAAGAACAAAGATTTTAATCATTCATTCTGTGCGTATGAAGTTATTGCAGGTTTGCCTCATTGAGATAATCTTTTTGTTAACACGAAACTGTGAAATGTATTTTACAATCAACAGACTTTGACTGGTTCCAACCTCCCTGATGATGTTTTAAGTGCAACCAATGTGATCACGATCCAGTTCCAGACTGACTCTGATGGTGGCGCTTCTGGATTTGCACTGACATTTGAAGAAATATGTGAGTTGAATATCCATTAGCTGAGTGATATAAATCTAGTTTTTGTGGTGTTATTCCCGCATTAGAGTTTGTTTAAAGTTACATAGTCCTTCATAAGTGAATAAATGTATGGTTGACAATTCATTTCAGACCGTGCAGCCCAGGAGAATGGATGCTGATAGTGTCCTTTGCCAAAACACATATTTATTTCCATTCATAAATACCTTTTCAGTCACATAGTCTGTCTAAAGGAGTTTTAAAAGAAATATAAAGTAAACTTAAGTTCAGTTGAGTTCAGTAGAGTACAGTTCCCTTCCCTTCCCTTCCCTTCCCTTCCCTTCCCTTCCCTTCCCTTCCCTTGCCTTCCCTTCCCTTCCCTTCCCTTCCCTTGAGTTGAGTTGAGTTGAGTTGAGTTGTTGTCTTGTTTTCTCGATATTAAATGAAAGAGATAAAAGTGCTATCTGCAACAAAACTGTCATGATTCAAAGTAAGAATGTTTGGATAAATCTTCCTTGTACTTTTCTTGTTTGTGCTGGTAGATTACTGCCCTGGTGGGTATGTTGCATTCCAAGTTGGTGAGGGGTACACCTGCTACAAGTTCTCTGCAGATGAGAAGAACTGGATAGAGGCCCGCAAGGACTGCCAGTCCACCGATAATGGAGACCTGATCATTATCGAGAATGCCCTGGAGAACAGAGGCATTGCAGAGATAACAGGGGGCCTGGACTGGTGGCTAGGTGAGTGTCCCTCATACTATAGTCTTAAAAAAAATAGATTGGCAGCAACTTCTCAAAGTAGTGGCAGGATATCTTTGGTACAAATTTCCAGCATAGGTGGCATGTTTATGGTAAAAACTTGGACACATACTTGGTCCAACCCAATAACCATTGGTTGCAAGTCACTGAGCCACTTTGAGGCATTTAAAGTACTCTTGCACAGTGTAGATCAATTGGAACTCTCAACACACATTTTCACCCACAGGATGCCAAACTGAGTGAGAGATCAGAGCAGAGAGCTCAGCTTTCTCTTTCTGGTGCAAACTACAAAAAATTACTTTATAAATGGGCGTAAGGCTTGGTTTTCTTATGGTGTGGTTAGTGATCACATATTGCATGTCTGTCTGTCTTCCACATTGGTTTGTAACAATTTTTCCTTGAAAAAGGGTATTTTTCATTGTTTCCTTTCTCTTACCTAGGATTCTATGATCGTGCCAATGAGGGTGTTTGGCGTTGGGTTGACTGCCAGGCTCCCACCTCTTGGGGCAACCTGAACTGGGAAGACCCTTCAGGACCGGACTCCACCAACGGTGATGAGGACTGTGCCATCATCTTGGATTCCTCCGGCCGCTACCAAGCCATTCCCTGCGAGACACCAAGACGCTACATCTGTGAGATCGGGGAACCAAGTAAGTGGGGTTTTACCTGTGAAGGCTGAGATGACTTTTACATTTGATTCGGTTGTTTGTGTCTAAAAAATGGCTGCATCAGGCTGCATACTCCCCAGGGAGCTGGAATGGTCTAAGAAATGGTTATAGGCCTGCTGAGCGGGGGTAACAATGATGCATCACCTTGAGTACCAGCAGGCACTATTGGTGAATACATGCACTCCATAAAGGTACATTGTTTTTCATTTGAAACCCTCGTCACCTTAAACCTGTCAAGTGCCAATTACCTAGGTTGGCTTTCTACTGGGTGAAAATAAGTTACCACCAACCAACTTGACGTACAGTGAGTTTTCATGTGGATGGTTCTTACCTAACTTCTGCTTGGCTCATGAGTATGCTAAGCAGTTTTTCCATGTCAGGAGCTCTGTAACTTTGGTTTGAAAAGACCTGCATCATAGAAGTGAGTTCATCACCCTGATGAAATTTCATAAAGTTCCTAAACGGGAAGTATTGCTTTAGGAACAATCAACTGAACATTAGTTTAGGATTTTGCTTACAATAGAAATATATTGCATCATTTTCCATAGTTGTTCATACCATTGTAAAAAAACAGCTTCCCAGAACTGGCATTTTCTGAATGTACAAGATGTTTTTTCATCGTCCTCTTTCAGAAATTTTTGATGGCAATCCCGTTAGTGTGTCTGGTTTTAGTTTTACGTCGAGCAGCATTCATCTGGAGTGGACACTGAGTCCTCAGCGATGTGATGTCCTGAGCTATTTTGTCCAGTACAGCACTCTGTCAGGGAGTCCGGTAAGAGAGAAACAAATCTGCCTTCCTTTTCCCTTAAGTAGCAATTTAACATTATATTGGCCATAGAGACACTTTTATTTTTGGTTCGGGCTTTGACCGGTTGTTGTTTATTTGTAAGTTCTCTGTTTTCTATATACACAAAGGTATTAGTGGGTTTGCAGTCAAAAGTAATTAAAAGTAGCAAGGCAGGATTTTTCATGTTGCTGATCAAATGAGACTTGCTGTGCCAGTTTTCTGTGCTCGGCATTAAATGTTCATGTGTGTATTACAGTCAAGATATTGTCTTCTGAGGTACAAACAATTGTGCTGTTCTAACCAGTTTTACATTGTAGCCTCTGTTATAATTCCTATTTTTTCCCCACAGGTGGAAACCATTGTGACCGGTTCCAATACCAATGAATTGGATGTATTTGACCTGGTGCGGGGTACCAGCTATTTCTTTTCCATCGCTGCGGTCACGTTCACGTCTGGAAAGCTTGCATACACTGATCCTGTTGAAATTCAAACTCTTCAGTTTGACAGTAATTATACTTCTCATTTGTTTCTGTGCAGTTTTGTCCTTTATTGCCATCTGCAAATTTTCACTCTGTAACTTGAACGCTCCAGTCACTTAAATAATTTCTTCAGTTGAGCATTTTCAGCAATGCAGTTATTGTTCACTCTTTGTTCAGAACATATCAGCCTCCTTTATTTTCTTCTGCAGTATCTTGTGTGCATATTTGTGGCAATGTCAATACTCACTTTTGAACTAGATATTATCGGTATGTAAAATGCATGGCCAACTATTTCAAAACCGAGGAGTAGTATATTGACGTTCTTGAGGGTTGCAGTGCTAAAATTACATTTTGTAAACTTGTGAAAAAAAATCAAAAAGCTGCAGAGTTATTGGTCCTCAAGGTTAGCTAAATTAACATCGACCCCCCATTTATTCTGACCCCTCTTTCCACAGGTGAATTTTGCCCTCCTGGTTACCAAGGAGGCTGGAATTACCAGTGTTACAAGTTTGTGCTTTCTCCCGTCACCTGGGACGAGGCTCGGGCTGATTGCCGATCGGTGGAAAATGGAGATTTAATAGATATCAACTTCTATGCAGAATTACTGTACATCAATGAAACTGCACCTGGAGAGACACTGTGGATTGGTCAGTTGAACAAACTCAGTTAACAGTATTTTGAATTTTTTGTAGAAAGCCAATGATTTTTGAGTAGGTATAGACTTGGTGAATTGTTGAGCTGGGATTAAAGGTTGATTTTCATCAGTCCAAAGATTATTTAGATTTCAGAGGGATTAAGCCAACAGAAATGTAGTCAATATCGGTCAAAGTACATTTTCACTTGATTTGCTCCCCTTATGTTTCTGTGAAAGAGCACCTCCAAGGAAAATATGTTTTCTCTGATTTCACCTGTTCAAATAAATATGGAAGCATCCAAATTGAATGCAGTGTCATTTGTCTTCAGAGCTCAACTATAGTAAGCTAAAAAGGTTTTTTTGTCTGTTCATGTCAAGATGCGAATGTTGAATGTAGATTGCATTATTCAGAGAAAACAGAGAAAACGAGGGGAACTCTCACCCTGTGTTAGTAGTGGATAAACCCTTGTGCATGCCAAACAATGGCTACAAACAATCGCTATATGCGTTGTTTAGCAAACACAAGGGTTTATTCACTGCGAACACAGGGCGAGGGTTCCCCGCGTTTTTTTCTGTTTTCTAAGAATGACGCAGTCTACATTCAGAATTTGCATCTTGGCATGAACAAAAAAAAGCTCTTTTTAGCTAACTATTGTTGAGCTCTAAAGACAAATTACACTGCGTTTGATTTGGATGCTTCCATATTTGTTTGAACAGATAAAATCAGAGAAAAAATGTTTTCCAGAGATGCTCTTTAATAGAAATAGTTTTCTATGCCTTTTTGCGGGAAAAATTGTAATCTTTTGTTTTGTGCAGTTTTTCCTGATTATGTTTTGGATATAGTTATTGTTCATGATGTGAATTCAAGCACAGTCTTAGAGGGTTATTCAAATAGTTAGTTTCATAAAATGTTTTATGAAATAGCAGTTGCACTACATTGTGTTGCT